ATCTCGTCGGTTAAAGGTGTTAGTAGGCACGCTTTCACGGTTCGTATTCGTACTAGGAAATCATGAAGTCAACGAGCTTTCTACCCTTCTGTGTCCACGAGATTTCTGTGCTCGTTGAGTTCTCATCTTTAGGAACTTGCGTTATCTTTTAACAGTGTGCGCCCCAGCGAAACTCCCATGAGCAATGTTTCACCGGGTCGGCTCCAAGCGAGCTTGGTCAAAAGGGGGCAATGCCCGCCTCCGATTCAGAATAGTAACTAAGTTTTAAAGTAGTGGTATTTCCTTTCGCCTTTCGGCTCCACTTATCCTCACTGTGGGCTGGCTGGGCAAGCATTTCCAAGTCCGACTAGGTCAGCCTCACAGGGTCTTCTTTTCCGTGATTCTTGCAAGACCGTGTTCCCTTTGGCTGTTGGTTCGCTGGATAGTAGCAGGGACGTGGTTAATTTTCGTTATCCATTCATGACGCGTTCACTATTAGATGACGGAGCATTTGGCTTCTTAAGGTCATAAGTTTACTCCGCGTTTCCGCGCTTGACGTTGTACATTTCCGTCCTTTTGACATTCGAGAGCTGGGGCAGATGACATTGCGTTTGGCTCGAGGGACATCGCATTGTTTGTTTTATTACAGTCGTGATTACTTTTTCGTACAGTTCTGGTTGGCTGTTCGAGCCGGGAAGGCCCCGAAAGGCGTTCCAGTCCGTCCCGGCCGGCACGCGGCGCCGCTCTCGGCCGGTTAGCAGATCGAGCAGTCGCCGAGCCGACGGGTTCGACTGACCCCCGGCCAGCCCTCAGAGCAATCTTTGTGCCGGAAGTTACGGGATCCATTTTGCCTAATTTCATTGCCTACATTGTTCGATTGGCAGAGGCTGTTCGCTTAGTGAGACTGATGGGTGGATGTGGATACGACGGGCTGTGGAAGGGCACTCGGTCCTTCCGAGGATTTTCAAGGGCGCCCAGGGCGCCACGGACACAGTCGACGTGCGGTGCATTTCCAGCCGCTGACCTACCTCGGCTGAGCGTTTCAGGCGTGGGCAGCAGCTGCTTAACAGAAAAGATACTCTTCCGCGGCCCCAGCGCGACGTTCCGTATCCTACGTTGCCGGCAACGCCACGTGCGGTTCAGGAAGTTTATCGATTCCCTTTCGGCGACCGGGGGCGCAAACGCGCTGTCTGTCGGGCTTCCCCGACTTAGGATTCGACTAACCCTGTCGCATAGTTGGCGGTTCACATGGAACTTTCCCTTCTTCGGCCTTCAAAGCTTCTCATTTGAGATATTTGCTTACTACACCAGATCTGCACCGACGGCCGCTGACGCCGGGCTCGCGCCAGAGGATTCTGCAGCGCGCGCGCTCTACTCATCGGGGCAGTCTTGCCGCGGGGGTAAGGTTTGCGCGGCTTAGCGCCATCCATTTTCGGGGGGTTAGTTGTTCGTGCAGGTGGTTGTGTTAACACTCCTTTAGCGGATTTCGACTTCATGACCACCGTCCTGTGTCTTATGACCAACACCTTTGTGGATATAGGTTTAGCGCGCAGTTGCTTAGCACGTAACCCGGCTTCCGGTTCATCCCGCATCGCGCAGTTCTTTACCAAAAATGACCACTTGCGAGTGTTGCATTCCGTATGGACGCGGTCACGAAGCAGCCGCCGTCTACTATTCTCTAAGTTTGAGAATAGGTCAGAGGCGTTACGCCCCGATGCTTAATCATTGGCTATTCCGAGTAGATCTCGGCCGCTCCTATCCTGGGGAACTTTCGGGGGAGTTATAGCGGTCGATCTAGTTCTTTCGCCTATACTCAGTCAGAGAAGTTTGCAGTGGTATCGCTTGCGTGCCTCACGAGTTTTCTCTGGCTTGCCGCTCAGCAAGGTTCACATTCTTTCGGGTCCGACAGGTATGCTCGCCTCGAATCCTTCTCGAAAGATCAGGTCGGGTCGGCGGTGCACCCCCGTGAGGGGAGATCGCCAATTCAGTTCCCTTTGCGGCTTACGGGTTTATCGCGTTGCTCGCACACATGTCGACTCCTTGGTCCGTGTTTCAGAGGGTCGGAATGGAGAGGCCCAGGCCCAGCGCCGGACGCGCTGCAGGTGCGAGGGCGCCAGGGCGGCGAGTACTTCCACGATCCAAGAGACGACGTTCGCGGGCGTATCAAAGGCCGGTTTGGCGCCGATCTCGCTGGGTCCGCGCCGCGTAGATTCGGCGGACGGCTCTCACGTGTCACATGCTACGGGCGCTTGCAGTTCCATCGATTCCTTGCCCGGACAATTTCAAGCGCTCTTTGCTTGTTTTCAAAGCAGTCTCTTTTATTTTCCCTCGCTGGTACTTTGTTCGCCTATCGTCTCCGCCCGTATGTTAGCCTTGGACGGAATTTCACCCGATTGGCGCTGATTCCCAAACAACCCGGACAGCTTTTGTAGACAAGCGCCTCGTGGGTGCGACAGGGCCGGGCACGACGGGGCTCTCGAACCCTCTCCGACCTGGCCCTTTCCGAGGGCTGGGCCCCGGTCGCCGTTGAGGACGTTTCTAGACTACATTCGAACGGCCCGGGTGGCTGTCGATTCTAAGGTGTTGGGCATTGTTCCGCGTTTTCGTCGCGTTATTAGGGGGATCCTTGTAAGTTTTCTTGTTCCTCGCTTATTGCATATGTTGAATCGGGTAATCCGCCTGACTGGGTCGGCGCGTCGGGAGACCGCCTGACGCGGTCGTCAAGGGTGGTATCAGCGGGCGCGGGGGCACGCGCCGGGTTATGCACGCTTTGGGTACGACCACCATCGCTCGTGACGCATCCTGCGCCCGGACTGATTTGAGCCAGCCGCGCCCCGATTAGGGAGCAGGGAGGCCAATCCGTCCCCAGCTCGCCGAGGGCCCGAGGCGTGGCGACGCGAATGCGTGACGCACAGGCGAGTGCTCGGCCCTAACGCTATCGCGCGTCAACTTGCAGATCAAAGACTCGATGGTTCACGGATTCTAGCCAATTCAGCACAAGTATCGCATTTCGCTTACGTTTCTTCATCGATGCGAGAGCGAGATATCCGTGATGCCTGGATGTCGTATTTTGTTAAGTAGCGCGACACCGCGCGGACCCGCCCGAGCGATCCGCGATAACGGTGCAAGGGCGGCCGGCCATCTCGATGCGGTATTCCTTGGCGCGTTCCGCGCCGGGGGTTGGTTGATCGCCCGAGACGAGTCTCCGGACGACGATAGTGAATAACAAACGTGTTCTCCGGTCGTTCTGCTGTGACAGGTTTCGACAATGATCCTTCCGCAGGTTCACCTACGGAAACCTTGTTACGACTTCTCCTTCCTCTAAATGATAAGGTTCAGTGGACTTCTCGCGACGTCGCGGGCAGCGAACCGCCCACGTCGCCGCGATCCGAACTTCACCGGATCATTCAATCGGTAGGAGCGACGGGCGGTGTGTACAAAGGGCAGGGACGTAGTCAACGCGAGCTGATGACTCGCGCTTACTAGGAATTCCTCGTTGAAGACCAACAATTGCAATGATCTATCCCCATCACGATGAAATTTCAAAGATTACCCGGGCCTGTCAGCCAAGGCTATATGCTCGTTGAATACATCAGTGTAGCGCGTGCGGCCCAGAACATCTAAGGGCATCACAGACCTGTTATTGCCTCAAACTTCCGCGGCTTGAAAGGCCGTAGTCCGTAGTCCTCTAAGAAGCTGGGCCGCGCGAGGCATACCCTCCGCATAGCTAGTTAGCAGGCTGAGGTCTCGTTCGTTAACGGAATTAACCAGACAAATCGCTCCACCAACTAAGAACGGCCATGCACCACCACCCATAGGTCTCGTTTTCAAAAATGACTGCCCAAAACTCCATATAGGAGAGAAAAAGCAATCTGCTTCTCCTAGGGCAGTCAAATCTGTTTCTAGTGTGTTGGCTTCAACTGTTTTGCAGGTAGTTCCTCCAGATGAACAGCAACTCACTAAACAAAGGATTGAGACCGATTTAGTGAATGCAACCATGCTGGGTGAAGATTTAGTGGGTATTGAATTGGCCCTCAAAATCACGAAAAAACTCAGGATGGGTTACAGGCAGAAAAGGGTGATGATTTGAGTGAAAGCCCTGATTGTTTGCCCAAAGAACCTGTGCTTGTTTCTTCACAATCTGAGACTGTGGTGATTGAGAAGGATGGGCCACAAAAATCTGATGCTAATCATGTTTCAGAAGCTTCTGCACAGTGTGAAACAACAAAGGGGACACAATCTGAGACAGTGGTGTTTGAGAAGGATGGGCCACAAAAATCTGTTGATAATCATGTTTCAGAAGCTTCTGCACAGTGTGAACCAACAAAGGGGGCAGATTCGTTTTTCCAGGCAAACATTGAGAGATTTCTTGCTGCAATGCCAAAGGATTCTAGTTTGTCACATTATGCAAAGTATCCATGCCTCCTTGCAATTCAATTGGAGGCTAATGAGTTATGCAAGGAAATCATGGCAAGCAAGGAAAATAATAGGTCAAAAGAGCCGGTTGTATGTGCTAAGGAACCAGTTTCTACTGCTCAAAACCCCGTGAAATTGACTGAAAATTGTTGTTCCAGAGTTCAGAGTTTTAAGGAAGCAGTTTTATCCCCCCCAAAAGGGGCTCAAAATCTTTCTAAAGAAGGGGGTAAAACCAAGAGTTTTAACAAAGCTATTCCCATACCATTGAGGGCAAAAACAATGGTCCGTGGCGGTGGTCGACGGCGACCCACCTTTGGTCGTCAATGATTGCTGCAATATGGAATGTTAGGGGCATCAACAAGCCCCTAAAGAGGAGGAAGATCCTCAGTTTTGCCAGACAGAACCATGTCTCTTTTTTTGCTTTGCTGGAAACAAGAACCACCCCCACAAAGTTAGATAAAATAATTAAAGGTATCTTTCCTAGTGAGAATGTTTTTGTGGACTTTAATACCATAAGGAATGGTCGTATTGTTTTGGTTTGGAATTCCCACAAGGTGGACTGTACTATTTTGGATGTTTCTGCCCAGTGTATTCACTGTGCCCTGAAATGCAAGACTTCAAATAAGATTTTTCAGTGCTCCATTGTGTATGGCTTATACTCGGTTGTGGAAAGAAGACAGTTGTGGAACAAGTTAATGGAGCTAAACCCACAATCAAATGTTCCTTGGCTGGTTTGTGGAGATTTTAATGTTGTCAAGTGCCCAGAGGAAAAACAGGGTGGAGTAATCCCGTCTAATTACTTCACCAAAGATTTTGTGGATTGTTGCTCCTCTCTTGGTCTCTCGGATGCCCCATCTATTGGAAATTTCTTCACTTGGACAAATGGCAGAGTGAAGGCCAAACTTGATCGTGTGTTATCAAATGCCCTCTGGACTGGAAGCAGCTTTAATTGTTGGGTTGATTTCAAGGATTTTGATTGCATGTCTGATCATTGCCCCATCATCATTAAGATGTTCAATAGTCAGGAATCAATCAATAGACCTTTCAAGTTCTTTAACATGTGGTTAACTCACCCGAAGTTCAAGCAAATTCTTCTGGACACTTGGACAATGAATATTCATGGCTCAAGGCAGTACACTTTTGTTCGCAAGCTTAAAGCCTTGAAAGCCCCCCTTAAAATCCTTAACAAAGAGGATTTTGGTCACATCTCTGAAAAAGCTTTAGCTGCTAACTCTGCTTATAATGATTTCCTGCACTCCGCTGATTTTAATGAGGATTCTGAAGATAATAGAATTGTTCTTCAAGGTTTAAGATCTAAAGCCCTGTTTCTTGCTGAAGCTGAAAGGCAGTTTATCTCCCAAAAGTTGAAGCTCAAACACTTGATTGATGCAGACAAGAGCACAAAATATTTTCATGACTTGGTCAAGAAATCAAACAAGGACAGAAGCATTACGTGCATCCTAGATCAGCATGGAATCCCAACAACTTCTTTAACTCAAGTTGGTGCTCTCTTTATAAGGGCCTACTTGGAAGCTCGAGTGAAAGGAGACCGTGTAAACAGCATTTCCTTCAGAATGGCCCCAAAATTTCTGTGTCTCAGCAACATTTTCTGATCGCTGATGTTTGCTCTACAGAAATAAGAAATGCTTTGTTTGGAATATGTGATCAAAAGGCACCTGGGCCGGATGGATATTCAGCAGCTTTCTTAAAAAAAATTGGGATTTGATTGGAGAAGACCTCACTGACTCAGTAAAAGAATTCTTCTCTTCTGGCCAGCTTCTCACGCAGGTTAACCATACAGTGATTACTCTTATCCCCAAAATTCAGAATGCCCAATCTGTGGGAGATTACAGGCCTATTTCTTGCTGCAACGTGATGTACAAAATCATCTCCCGTGTTTTAGCAGCTAGGTTAAGTGGGGTCTTGCCTGGAATAGTTAATAAAGCACAAGCAGCCTTTGGTGGAAGGTAGATCAATGTCAGACAACATTTTCTTAGCCCAAGAGCTGATTAGAGGATATGCTAGAAAAAGAATTTCTCCCCGGTGCATGCTCATGGTGGATTTGAGAAAGGCTTATGACACCATAGAATGGGATTTCATCTTGGAAGTCCTTAGAGGGCTTGAGTTCCCTCCTCAGTTTATCTTATGGATTGAACAGTGTGTTACCACCACATCTTTCTCCATTTCTGTAAATGGTGGTTTGTTTGGGAACTTTAAAGGGAAGAAAGGCCTGCGACAAGGAGATCCTATCTCTCCTCTCCTCTTCTCCTGCTGCATTGAATACCTCTCCAGAACCCTTAGCTACTTGACTTCGAGGCCTGGGTTCAACTTCCATCCCAAGTGCTCCAAAAACAGTATCTCCCACCTAGCTTTTGCGGACGATTTGATGCTTTTCTCAAGGGGAGATCAGGGTTCTGTCCAAATCCTTCTGGATGCTTTAAAAGAGCTGGAATTTGCCTCAGGTTTGACAGTCAACATCAACAAATCCAACCTTTTTGTGGCTGGAGTCCTTGATAATAGTTTGGACTTTGTGAGCTATCCGAAAGGGTCTCTTCCAATTCGTTACCTTGGCATTCCTCTTGATGCCCAAAGGCTGAAAGTTGCTCACTTCTCCCCTCTCACGAACTCTGTTTTGTCGCATATTAATGCTTGGAAGAGTTGCAGGTTGACTTTTGCTGGAAGACTTGAGCTTCTTAACTCAAGGTTATTCAAGGCTTTGTTAGCTTCTGGTTACAAAACTTTCTTCTCCCTAATAATGTTATTGACCACATCATCTCGCTGTGCAGAAATTTCCTATGGGGTAGCAGATATGCACCAATTGCTTGGGAGAAAATCTGCTGCCCTAAAGAAGAGGGAGGTCTTGGGCTTCACAACTTTAAAACGTGGAATTTTGCTTTCCTGTCCAGAATTCTTTGGGACATCCACACAAAAAGGGATTCTTTGTGGATTAAGTGGGTCAATGGAGTCTATCTTGATTCTAAAGACTTTTGGCTTTGGGAACCTAAGCCCAGGGACTCGGCACTTATGGAGGCCGTTTTCAATGTTAAAGCCACCATCATTAAGCACACTGGCAGTGACCATGGTGCAAGAGTTTTTCTGCTCAAT